GCGCTTAACCGGAAGCGTCTGTGGAGATTACCTTGAAGATCACGTAAGCCATAACAATTTCTTGATTCGGACGTTTTGTAGGTCTCAAGGTACACTGCGTATAAAATAAGTACTTACTGAACTTCATGAGAATATCGTTTAACTAAGTAACTGAAAATGCTGCCTTCAGCGTGCAATCAAATGGTGACAGTGAACAAGACAATGAATGTCAATAACTATATTCCTGTCTGTCGACAAGATTAACAAGTTAATCTGTTACCAGAACTAGTTACATGATAATCTTCTTCAGTGGCAATAAGGTAGGGACGTCTTCCGGCGAGCACCTAAAGTCCATGTCAATAAGCAGATTCCTGAGTCTATCAACACAAATTGCTAAGATATAGTCACCGCCAATTTTCTAAATCTTTTATTCATTTGTTTGTTTGTTGTTTAAGGCCGCACTAAGCAATATTCCAGCTATATGACAGTGGTCTGTAAATAATCGTGTCTGGACCAGACAATCCGGTGATTGACATCATGAGCATAGCCCACGCACCTTGGATACGATGACATGCATCTACCTAGTCAGCGAGCCTGACCATCCGACGCCGTTAGTCGCTTCTTACCACAAGCATGGGTTCCTGAAGACGAATTCTTACCCGGATCTTCTCGGGATTCGGATCCTTGTAACTCAAAACTCATACAAGGGTAGATTGATAAGTTCTAGTTCCTCAATTGCAAGCTTGTAAATTATCAAAGATTCACAGACCCCTTCTTATTTTAGCAACTTGTCACAGCGAAAACATGACCCAGTGTTTGTGGATAGATCTCTATGCCATCATGTAATGTCCACAACAAAAGATTTCACTATTACGAAATTCTTTCTGTGCAGACTCAGAACTTGTCAATCCACCCTCGCATTGTGTCAACATGAGGCTCCCATTGAACACCGTCTTCAATATCAGTCTATGACAACCAATCAGAATCGCGCAACTACGGAAGCCTTTTAGGGCCATTTGTTTGTTTTAATTTTTTTCGATATTATCTTGAAATTTCAAGATACTAAGTTGAAATTTCAAGATAGTATCATGAAATTTCAACTTAGTTTCTTGATATTTCAACTTAGTAGCTTGAAATTTCAAGATAGTATCGAATTTAAAAAAAAAATGGCCCTTAAAGGCTTCCATAGTACCTTGAAATTTCAAGATTATTCACTTCAAACGTATTTTTACATCTTAGGATGTTAACTTATTATCTTGAAATTTCAACTTCTGTATCTTGAAATTTCAGCTTCTAAATCTTGAAATTTCAAGATAGTATCTTGAAATTTCCACTAAGTTTCTTGACATTTCAAGATTGTATCGATAAAAGAAAGAAAAAGTTAATGGCCCTAAAAGGCTTTCGTACGTAACAGAATGTTATGCCATTATATGGCAATGGAACTAATTGTTTTTGCGGTGAAAAGTTCTTTCAACAGTCTTTCATTTTTATCTTGCTTAAAAAAACAACGCTGTCTAATAGACAACCAGGCCAATCATTAGGAAAAGAGGCATATAGACCTTTAACGTTACGTTTTTGTTTTGTCACAATTTTCCATAATAATTTTAAAGTCACTTTGTAAACTTCATTATTACTGTCTTGAGCTGAGCATAATGAACAAATCGCTGCCGCCACTACACCCTCAAGAATATATAATTGAATATTTCCTTCCATAACGATCTCGTGAGTCGCTTCTAGTGACATGCGTGGGTTGCTAACGATCAGTTCTAACCCGGATTTTCATAGGTCGTTTTCTGTAAGTTGTATAATAAAATTACCGGTAATGTCAAAATGGGCCGGAGTTTTGTGTTGTTCATGAGTGGATCGCGGTTGAGTGAGTCGCCCCTTTTAGCAGCATTTTAGCAATCAAACCCAGATTCTTTCTCCAAAGGCAACAAAATTGTCTCAAATTTTAACCCATGCTATGACCTTTACAAGGAGTTTTCTAAACCACTTTACCCACTAGCACGAGAGCAGGACATGCTTAGCCTTTTCGCGAACATCTGGTGTCATTACAAATTTTCAATGATCCGTTTGTGTACTGTTCATTATTATTGTGCCTTTTTCTTCCTTTGGAGATATTAGAGACTGATTATTCTCTGGCGTTCATGTTTGGAATAAAATGCAAATGAAACAAGGTTCACTCATGGTCTCCATTTCGTAGAGATTGTGGCACAGTTGTTTGTGCGAATACTTTCGTAGTCGTATTAATCGTAAAACAAAACAAATGAAAAGGAAAGACATACGGCTTCGATAAGGCGATATACGGTAAAGTGATGCTGTGCTTAAAATGTAATGCAATTCTGTTTGTGAATTCTTGCAGTATCAGCAAATGTATTGATGGTTCGTTACGGGTTCTTCACGCAACTGAATATCTCAACCATGGAAACATCCTTGCATGTTGGTCAATACATACCCATGCAAAAGTGGTCGTACTCCACACAGCCATATACCTCAGTAACCATGCGCTAATGCTACAATATACCTACAATATAACTATCATTAATTGATTATGTTGTTCTGATTGTCGGTGAGGATAAATGCACCCCTGTGTTTGGTGTGTGTGCGTGTGTGTGTGCGTGTGCGTGTGCGTGTGCGTGTGTGTGTGTGTGTGTGTGTGTGTGTGTGTGTGTGTGTGTGTGTGTTGGGGCGTATAATCTACGTATGGTATATGTGTACGTGTGTGCGTGCGTGTGTGTGTGTTTGTGTGTGTGTGTGTGGGGTGGGGGGGGGGGGGGAGGGGGGGGGGGGTGCGTGAGTGCGTGCGTGTGTATGTGTGTCTGGGGTATAATGTACGTATGGTGTGTGTGTGCGTGTGTATGGTATAATGTACGTATGGTATGTGTGTGTGCGTGCGTGTGTTTGTGTGTATGTGCGTGTGTGCGTGTGTGCGTGGTATGGTGTGGGTTGGGTGTGTGGGTACCTACGTGTTTGTGTATGATTGTGTGCGTGACTTTATAAGTAATGTGGCGTGCGTGTTCATAACCTAACCTTAATTTTAAATATTGTGTTAGTATATGTCTTATTTTACCTTACCCAGATCATGGCGTTATAATTTGCTTTTATGTCTAACTGTCTCGTAGACCATACCTGGTCGGATGTTATATTTTACTGTACGTGTACGTGTTTTAGTATGAAGTGTATATAACATGTGACACTATAATAAACATTATTCTCTCTCTCTCTCTTTCTCTCTCTGATGTTTAAGGTTCCTGCACTGTCATGATTTTTCATTATCGAATTGATTACCTTCTGATATTGGGAGAAATAAGTTGGGCTTGTGTTAAATTCCTGTGTTATTCCCAATGAGACATCTGCAGTTTTATAGTTCAACAGCTTCATAATCAACGCTCTGGTTAAACAGAATCCAGTTAACTTCAATTTGTTTGTGTACGCAGTTATTTACATATTATTTTGTGACCGCAATGTGCATTTAAGTCAATGCGGGGTAACAGGTCGCCCAGTCGTCTTATGCGCCGCGATTCGCTGTGCAGAGTTGCGACCCTTGGGCACGCCAGAAACCTATGATTGAGGGTTCGAATCCCGGTTCGCCCCGATTATGTTTCTAGGTTTGTCAGCACCATACCCGTGTTCGTGGGTTTCACCGAAGTGGTAAACGTCTGAGGCCTGCATCACTTCGGGCTTTCCTCCCACATTAAGCTGACACGCCGTGATATAACTGGATAACTGTTAAAAGCGGCGTTAAACCAAACTCACTCACTCACTCACTAATTCAATGCGATACCCCGCAGCTCTCATCCATCCTGATCGTGACGTCACTGTTTTGAGTTACACATGTTCTCCGAAACTCCGATTTGTAATGGCCACATCTCCTTTTATATCGAATAATCGCCTGGTTGTTCCTTTAGTGAATGGAAATGAAATGAAATGTCAAGGGGTATTCGTATTTGCATTGTTGGATATTGCGTAAAATGAGCGCTCACGTGAATGTAGGGGTAGCACCCGTCGTTTGTGAAGGGCAAGGTCACGTTACACAATGTACACATGTCGATGTACGTACACTCCGTCAACGCTCTCATGGTTGGGACATGATGAATATTAAAGAGTTTATTAGATAACATGTCATCCTACCGGGACCATTGTTAAAGTAAGGCTTAGTCTAAATCCGAAAGAACAACGGTTAGTTAATTAAAATATATCGCTTCATACACATGCAAAATAACAAATTACAAATGACAAATTTTATGTAGTATTTCCGGCCTCACGGCCCATAGTACAAAATTCAATGAGACTAATAGTAATGCGTGCCGCAACATCACTTGATACTTAGAATGTAGCATCTTAACATTAATTATATACATTAATATATGTAACTAGATAGGTAGGTTTCTTTTTAAATACATTCCCGATCATTCAATATTCAACGTTTTGCGAAGATATTAACTGACAATTGTTTTCTCTCGTTGAATAAATAAACTACAGTAAACCTCGGTTATAACGAACTCAAAGGGACTTCTAATTTTAGTTCGTTATAACCGTAGTTCGTTATAAGCATATATACAGCATAACTACAGCAAATAGTCGGGACCAAAAAGTAAGTTCGTTATATCCGTCAGTTCGTTATAAGCGAGTTCGTTATAACCGTAGTTGACTGTAGTATGTTTCAACAACTTTTTACGGGTAACTGCATAAAAAGAGCAAACAAGACGGAATTTATATTCATCTTCCATGAGCTGCAAATTACCCCTTCTTTAAATAAGCGCATTAATATCCACGATGGGGCGATAGCGACATTGATGAATTTCCAATTTATGTGAGAAAAAATGAAAATTACATGTTATACGGACAAGATCTTTTCTATTTGTAAGATGTAATCCATATTTTTGAGGTTCAAGAATTGTTTTATAATAGGAGTACGTATTTAGAGTTAGTAACTTTGAAACCAGTGTATCGTTTCGCCATTCATATCGTAGTGCCATGGATATCCACCCTAATCCTTTTGTCTGTTTTCTTTTTTCCAGGGACCAGTGCGTATCCATCTGTGCGTTCAGTGTTTTACCTTCATACAACACCTCGAACTTGGAACGAGGCCAAACTGATATGTGAAGCACAATCCGCCGAGCTTTTCCGAGTGAAAAATGGGAACACTATTGACGAACTGAAGTTTGTTGATGGAATGACAGAATGGAATGGGAACTTCAGTAAACTGTGAGTTGTGTTTGTATGTTGTTTAACGCCGCACACATCAATATTCCAGCTATATGATGGCGGTCTGTAAATAAACGTGTCTGGACCAGACAATCCGGTGATTGATATTGTGGGCAACGACCCGCGCCGTCGGGGTACGATGACATACAATCAACCAAGTCACCGAGCCTGATCACCCGATCCATTTGGTATCCTCTTACAACCAGCCAGGTTGCTGGGGATCTATTCTAACCCGAAATCAGAACCCTGGTCTGTGTGGTATGCAGGTTTCTGCATTAACAAGAATGTTGTCACAGAAATAATTTTCTTGCTAAATTTAGTCAAATAAGTCTAATTAAGAATTAAGAATAATTTCTTGGGGCCCTGGTCAGTGTTATGTCCTTTCTCGCGGTCTCTAAGAGGCGTTCTTCAGGAGTGATCAATAATTGAAAGTGTTTGGAAATATCATGGAGCAGTAATCATTTCCATCACGCTGTGTCAGTCGATAAGGGTAAAGAAAAAACTCGTGTACTTTTAGTAATACTATGTTGATGAGACCAAATCGTACGATTACGGTTCTGACAATCCAGGTATTATTAGCACGGCAAATTTTGGTACTCGGACTCACGACATGCTTATCCTCTCATGGATAAGCCACGTCTTAGAGGACTGACCCATAATACCAACAGCATACCATTAACATTTAGTTTCTCCAAAGAAACAGTTGTGCGGATATGTTCCTCTCCAATTGTAGGATGAGCCAGAACATGATGTGGCTGGCCTTGTATGAGACTCAGGACACTGCCAACCAGTTCCTCAACCACGGCTGCATCAAGCCTAGCGACTCATTCAGCTGGCCCTGGGCAGTTTCGCAGCCTACTAACCTGCCGAACCAGGAGTTCTGTGTCGCCATGGACTCCAAATATCAGTGGAGTTTACAAAACTGCAACCAGACCTACAACTTCATATGTCAGCGAAACGATGGTAAGAGTAGTCGCACGGAAGGTGGTGTATTACATTAACATTGCACGTACGCACGTTAAGTAGTGGTTAAATAGTACTAAATACCCGTACATGGTGTGAGTGATTAACTTCGTCCATCGTCTTTTTATGTATGTTTGTGTAATTAAAGGCTTCCGTTACAAACGGAACCGATTCTTGGTTCACGTCGCGTCCAAGATTATTGCACTTATATAGCGACGTGCAATCACGCGTGTGTTTGTGTGGCTGCTTGTACTAGTCCGAACTGATGCCGATTGATAGTGCTAAACCACTGAGATAACATGCCGAAGCTTATCATGAATACCCAACTCAGACACAATAGATGTATACTCCGAGCCAACCAGTCCTTGTTTTAGCCCCTTGATGCCGAGCGCCAGACAGGGTAACAACAAGTACCACCTGTGAAAGGCTTTTGGTAAGACGCGGCCGGGTATCGTACTCCAGACCTTCCGCTCTCCGGGCGGACGCTCTACCACTGGACCACGGAGGCGGTCCCTTTCGGAGGGGGGTATGGGTATATGACATGTCAGATGATGAAGACATGCCTTTTGTAGCTATATTCCGTCAAATATAGTGTTTATGGATCATATTGAATGCCCACAATGTCTTATTTAAACTATTTCTGAAACAATCCTCTATCTAGGTGTGTGTTTGCATTATTCAGTCTAAATATGAGTCTTAATAAAAGCGAAAAACAACTTTTTCCATAATCATAATAAGAAATCTATACTTTAGTCAATTGTACGATTCTGACTAGATTATATGCATGTGTTTATGATCAAGAATCACAATCAAACAGTGATGCATCCTTCAGAAACACATGCAAGGACAAGTCAATTATTCAGCTAAAAAGCACGGAATCATAAAATACAAGTCAAAATAGGGAATTGCAATAGGTCAAATTTGGAAATGTTCTCCACCATCTAAATTGTTTCCTTCGACCGAGACCCTCTTACATGCTTCCGAACATAAAAGCACAGCCTTCGATACAAGTAACGGCTCAGAAATACTGGTAACACATTTACACATGGCCATGTGCTTGGCTTCGTTAGATGACAATGTTGTCTATTGAACGGCCAACACGGGCTTGCTGCAACATTCCCTTGTCTTCCTTCCGATTCTCGTGGAAACGGATAGTGTACTTTTTCTACTATAACGATTTAGAGATAAAAGGGTTTGCATGAATCAATCGGATAACAAGGTTATGACTCATGCACAAGCACGTCTTGTTAAAATCAGTGGTACTTGGCTTGTAAAAGGGTCCATGTAGAGGAGATTTGTTTGTTTGTTGTTTAACGCCGCGCTTAGCAATATTCCGGCTATATCATTGCGGTCTGTAAAAAGTCGAGTCGGGACCAGACAATCCAGTGATTGATATCATAAGCATCGACCCACGCAGTTTGGATACGATGACATGCATGACGTTAGTTATTTAAAGTTTTGATCATATGTGGTGACAACACATTGCCAGGTTATGGCACAACACCATCTGATCACGATTTCTGGTTTATTCCTATTAACATGAACAGGAGCACGGGAAGATAATACCCGCAATTCGCTGCGCAGAGTTGCGTCCCCTGTGCACACCAGAATCTTCATAGTGTGGACGTGGGTTGGAATCCTTGTTCGCCCCGATTATATTTCAAGTTTTGTCCTTAACAAACCCGTGCCCGTGGGTTTCACCAGGTAGTAAACATCCGAGACCTGCATCACTTCGGGGTTTCCTCCCACATTAGGCTGACACGCCGATATATAACTGGAATATGTTTCAAAGCGGCGTTAAACCCAACTCACTCACTCACTCACTTTTAACAGAAAAGATAAATGTGCATACAATTCACGTCCATATGTTTTCAACTCGCAGTTGTCGCGTATCATGACAGAAATGGTTAAACGAACATGCATGACCATCGGAACCATTACAATCTCATCTGGTCTTACTTAATTCTTTATTATCACCTATTCGTGGACCTACACACCCTGGTCTGCTGCCCATGTCCAGTCAAGGTCTAGAATATATGTCTTTGTCATCCAAAACTGGCTTCCACAGTAGATATCGCTTAGAAATGAACTTTGCAAACCATTGTGATGTCATCAGTTACCATGACGTCACAGTAAAATCACTAATCTCTGCCGCTGAAGCTTGTCAGCTGTACTTTTTACACTCAAGACACTGGTTATAACTGTTTGTTGAAAAAATAAGAAGAATTATATCAGATGATAATAGAATTTACCTCTTTTGTCTCATCTTCCCGAGGCAAGGGTGTTAACTGACTTTAAAAGTCCAGTTTCCACCCTTGCCGAACTAGGCTGGAATTCATGGGCTCGACCGTAGCGAAACCAGTTGTTATTACGAGTGGTTATTATGTCCCTCCTAAGCCTATCCTATGGACCAATCAGATTCCACCTCTCGTATCACTTGCATTTGTTTCAAACAAAATGGCGGCTTACAGTCAAGACGATCTGATCGATATTGTGATAAAACGGGTCTTGCATAGCGAAGTGCATCAAATCACGTGAGCACCTTGATTAAAAGCATGAAAAGACTTGGAAAATCTCTGTTAACAACGAGTTGGCGGAGCACATGCTTTCCAAATCCTGCAATCCACCGAAATCTGAACGACATTTTACGAGCCGGATTTCGATTTCGGTGCGTGATTTTGTTTGGACTATGCATAGACTCATAGTCCAGCCAAAATGTAACTCAATAATACCAGCCTAGTTCGGCAAGGGTTGAAACTGGACTTTTATAATAAGTTAACTCTCTTGCCTCGGGAAGATGCTTTTGTCTCGTCGAAAAAGGTTAAATACTCCCCGTCAAGTCCCCGTGTTGATGTATTTTATATCAAAAGACAAGGATGAGATTTTCTATATGTGATAGATTAAAGCAAAGTTGATAACGTGATCGTCATTATATGTAGGATTGCCAGGCAAACAAAGCTTTGAATGCCTGGAATCAAATTGCCAGGGCCGTCTTTTCGTATCATATCCGTTGAACATATCCTTGCCATGACCAAACCGGGAATATATATATCATTTTTCACTCATTGACACGCTTGCGTGTCATTTTGCCAAGGGAACAACAAGTCCAGGAGTGTACATATTTGTTGCCTTCAAAACGCCGACCCTATTGCACTTTGTACAATACATTCCATACTTATTTAAAGAGGTTTTAGATAATATAAACGTGTTAAATATTCAAAAAGACTTAAAAATCAGAAATATTAAACTTGTTTGTAAGCAGTCAGGATAGTCATAACAAAAATATGAACTGGATAAGATGTAGATCAGATTTAGTCCGTATAACCCTCGTTTGGCTCTCCTCTCGTAAAAAGATACAAAGTGATGCACTTCTAGAGCAAAAACAGGATCGGCGTTTTCAAGTCATAAAAGATGAAATATTTAAATAACTGTCTTTCCTCTGCTCCATGTATGTATATGTTGTTTATTCGTTCAATACATGTAACAATGATGAATGTTTTGTCTTTTAGGGGACTGTTGGTTTGATCCCAGAGACAACACCATAGCTACTGCACAGACGTTAACAATTGAAGACGTTGTCGTTGAAAGCGAGGCTGACTGTGCTACTTCCTGTCGTAACGGATGGATCAACAGTACGGAATGCTGGGGGTTTTCATACCGAGTCTCTGACAATACATGCAGAGTTCACTACCATACTGATTCCGCGATCTTCATCAACAATACATCTAACACCTTGGAGGTGAACACTGACTGGACATTCTATGCGAAGATATGCGTCGGGGGTGAGTTTCAGTTTATGCGGAGTTGCATAAATTGGTTCACAGATACCAGAGATTCAGCAACGTGTTCATAACATTTCTAATTTGATAGTCTAATCCAATTTTTAAGAGTATGCTTTCTTTTGCGAGGGATTTTATTCCATATTCGCCTATTCTATATTTGATAAAATTGAGTAAGGGTTCATATCGTTCGTTCGTTCGTCCGTTCTTTCGTGAGCGAGCGAGCGTTCGTTCGTTCGTGAGCGAATTTGGGTTACACCGCTTTGGACGGCATTTTAGTTATTTCTGTTAGAGGAAAGCCCGAAGTTACGTAAGTTTTAAACGCTTACCATTTTGATGACCCAGGATTTGCAAGTCTGCACAACGGATCGTGGTCTTCCATACCCCCAAAAGAAATTACAGATCCAGCATAGTGTCTCATGTACAACTGCATGTGAATTAATGTTTCAAAATGTGTCGCCCATTGCTTTTGTAATTGCATCTAGTTCAAACGTATGACTTTATGTGTATGTATGCGTTTCGTTACCATGTTCATGGGGGCGGTTGGGAAGCCTAGTGGTTAAAGCGTTCGCTCGTCACGCCGAAGACCCGGGTTCGATTTCCGACATGGGTACAATGTGTGAAGCCCATTTCTGGTGTCCCCCGCCGTGATATTGCTGGAATATTGCTAAAAGCGGCGTAAAACCAAACTCACTCACTCACTCACCATGTTCATGAACAGAGTGGTGTGGTATGGCATAGTGGTTAAAGTGTTTGATCGTCATCCATGTTTCAGGTTTGTTACGGAGTGTGAATGTTAACTACATCGACAATAATGTTGAACCGCGGGTTCTCAACTGCACCGATCTCGTCACTGTGGATGACGGTAAGTACACGCCTATTGAATAATCTACATTGACCGTGTTGAGCACACAAGAGCCCAGTCTCTATAATAGTCAAAACATACAAATGGTACATATCGTATCGCAAATACTGTCGATTAAGGGGCAAAAACTGTACATCAAATTACGGCACACTGGGCGATTTGCCCCCTTCCCCTTGCCCCCCAAACCTGTTTTGGTCTAACATCGGTAAAGGTCAGATGGAGCCCTACGATCGCTTTCTGAAGCGGCCCCTAAGGTTGTTTGATGGGACTAGGACTTTCAATGAAACACGATGGGTTCAATACGTGTAATTGTTTTGGTAGTGGGAAATGGATCACGTCAATTATTGAAACGCATAATCCGTTTTTGGAGTCGGAAGTAACGTACATGTTACTGTACATCAGGATGATGAATGATGGTAGCGTTATGAAAAAAGGGCGGCCAGAGCTGTGTCGGTCACGTAACGCCCCGTGCGGCTGGTACCGATACCAAAATCTGGATGGTGCTCTGGAACACATTGATTACTCTAAGTACAACCGACTGCGTTTTTCTTGCTTCCAGTCGATTGACAAACTTGTTTCGTTATACTTCAGTTAGCCCTTCCAATGAACAGTTTTAACCGACAAATTAACAGACAACCTAATGTTTCACGTGATAAATATGCACGTGCATAAGTCCAACATTGATTTTTTAATAACTACTTAATTGTAAATAAAATGATATCATCATCATGCATCACATACCGAGTGCATGTTAATATATTGTATATATGTATAGACCGCCTCCGTAGTCTAGTGGTAGAGCGGAAGGGCCGGCCGCGGGGTTCGATCCCCGGCCGCGTCATACCAGAAGACGTTAAAAGATGGTACTTGTTGTTACCCTGTCTGGCAATCGGCATTAAGGGGCTAAAACAAGGACTGGTCGGCTCGGAGTCAGTTTACTGTGTTTAAGTGGGGTATTCATGTTAAACTGCGGCATGGTATCTCAGTGGGCTAGCACTATAAAATCGGCATCAGCCAGGATCAGTACAAGCAGACACACACATACATGCACGCACGTCGCTTTATAAGTACAAAAATCTTTTACGCGACGTTAAACCCCATATCACCTCATCTCACCTCATATATGTATGTCATTATAAAATATGCATTATATATTCGAGTATAAATGCATGTTGGAGCACAGATACAGGGACGTAATTAAGCATGTTCACACAGAACATTTGCCAGTGTATTGTGAGGGAACTTTTTCTATTAACATTTATATATTTCACACACGTTATTTAATAGTTACAACCCGACGGTTAGAATAGGTCCCAATAAAATTATTGTTTATTATAAACTTGATCGGGTGGTCAGGCGAGGTGGATGTCACCGAGAAGAAAAAACAAGCTCGTCACGGTCCGAAGCGCCGCTCTACTCACCGCCGTCTGGCGGTTGGCACAATTCGGCACAACTCGGCACAGCTCGGTGTCTTTATGTTCATAAGGGAATTGTAAGAGATTTCTTTGTCTGAAAAGTTTATTCTCTGGCAGTTTAATCTCATACATCTATGATCTCATATATGTATGCAAGCTTATTCATGTATTGGAAGTGTTTAATTTCTTTGATTACTGGGATTATCTTGTATTAAGTAAACTAAGCGGCAAAAGAAAGTATAAGTTGGCAATTTGTAATTTTCCTAAAAACAGCGATAACTAGTGGAAAGTTGGTATTGGGAAAATGACTGCCCAGGAACAGGTACCAAAAACCACCTCACCTCACCGAGAAGAAAAAACAAGCTCGTCACGGTCCGAAGCGCCGCTCCACTGTGCCATGAAAGGTTGCGCGTCCGGTGACAAAAAAAGGTGAAACAGGTTTCCCGCCTATGGGATAAACTGCACGTGCATGTTAGCTGTATAAATGCGTTCGTCTGCAGGGTATAACCACACGTGATGAAAGCACACAAAAGAAATGCCACGACTGTCACAGGAGAGAGAGAGAGAGAGAGAGAGAGAGAGAGAGAGAGAGAGAGAGAGAGAGAGAGAGAGAGAGAGAGAGAGAGAGAGAGAGAGACATCGGTATGGCCGAAATGGGGGCAACATAGGTCCAAATTGCCAGAAGGTTTGGTTGTACACCATTGACATTAGCCAGGCTGAGTCAACAGTACAGGCAGACAGGGAGGACACAGGACAGGCCTAGAACCGGACGACCCTGAGTGACAACGCCACTGGAAGACGGTAAGATAAGGCTCATTCACCTGAGAAACAGATTCGTAACGGCGACGGCGTTGGCACATCCCATTAGCCAACGTACAGTACTACGACGACTTCGTGCTGCTGGAATCCGAGCGTATCGTCCTTTCCGATGAATGGTACTGACTGCTCAACATCGACGCCTGAGACTGCGATGGTCGAGGCAGGTTCGACGCTGGCAAGTAAGAAATTGGCGTCGAGTGCTGCTTACTGATGAAAGTCGGTTTAACTTGTTTCGAAATGACGGCAGAGAACGAGTTTATCGAGGCAGAGGGGAACGTTTGGCTCCGGCGTGTATTCGAGAGGTCCATCCATTCGGCGGGGGAGGTGTCATTGTGTGGGGCGGTATTTGTGGAGATCAGAAGGCTGATTTGGTGATTATACAGGGAATCCTAAACGCTGTGCAGTACAGAGACCAAGTGTTGCAGCCAGTTGTGCTTCCGTTCTTACAAAACCAACAGCAGGGGACATTGTTTCAACACGACAATGCCAGGCCCCATACTGCAAGACCGACTCGGAACTTTTTAAACCAGCAGAACGTTGACGTTTTGCCTGGCCTGCCCACTCACCCGATATGAATCCTATTGAACATCTGTGTGCCATCTTGACAGACAGATTAGAGCACGCCATCAGCCTCCCGTTAACAGACAAGAATTGCAGCAGGCCCTGTGAGACGAGTGGCAACGGATTCCAGTCCACGTCATCAGAAGACTGACGTCATCGGTGAGGCGGCGTATCACAGCATGCATTGAGGCAGCTGGAGGTCATACACGTTTTTGTTGGCAACTGTGTCGACAATGAACTTGTAGTGTGTCTGACAAGTTTTTGGTGACATTTCAGACAACATTTGAAAATGAAATGTCTTACCCCACCATTGTTTACCTTGAGCTTACATTACCTGTGATTGCACAATTTCATTCAAACTGTGGTTGATCAATCATTTGTTACCCCTCCCTAGATTATATTATAATTCACAACAAAACCTCTTCTTGCTATTTTTTTATCGATCATGGAACTCGACCTATACTTTCTTTTGCCGCCCAGTTTAGATATTTTTCATTTATATATGGTCATTTTTGCCACGGTACCTTACTAACTGAACATATCTGGTTGTAAAAGTTTAATGGTACTTTTGGGGAGCTTACGTTCAGCCCGCTAATTTTGGTACTTGCATCTACAATATCTGTTTAGTAGTTAGTTTGCAATTCTTTTTTTCCTTATTTCAGAAAGCACAATTCTTGTTAATTGCATTTCATCGTACACGACTGTATTTGACGGAGCTCAGACATTTGACAGGTTACAGATTCTGTGTTTACCAGAATGTTTTTGAATGGTACGTAGAGGAAAAAGCCAAAACACTTTGCTCAGATTTTATATTTTAAGATATTCAATAAACTTAATGTTTGTGTTTTTATTGTAACCATTTTGTTCTTCAGTGTTAGATGACGCCATATGCTACTGTGAATGTCGCGACCCTCCGCCGATGTGGGAACCAACTATCTCCTCATTGTCCTTGAAACAGAAGATTGAACAGATTGTCGCCGCACTTACCATTGACAGCAAGAACACTTCCGCCGCACAGCGGAAGCTGATCAGTGTGATGGACGATCGCCCTAGCTCCCAGAGTATTGGCTATATCGGAGTGGTGTTCCTTTCGCTAGTGTTCGGGAGCATTATCATTCTCGATCTGAACGTACTTGTGTCACACACTAACAATCTCGTAAAAAAACTGAAAACCCCGACTTCTTCGAATGCTTAGTGAAAGAAAACAATCTGTGACTCAAAAGATTTTACCCCATAAATATATATTTAAATCTGTATTTAAAAAAAAGTCAAATATACAATATCTTGTTGAACAATTTGGGGGTGCATTTTGGGGGGGGGGGGGGGGGGGAGGATAGGAGTTTTGTATTAGACAATATATTCTACAGGTCACTACATCAATACACGCTTTATTCCTGTGGCATACAACATCTCCAGCTACCAATATAATATTTTTTTGCAAACTGTTATTTGTTTTTGTCTTTTTTTCTGGGACAAGATATTTTATCAAACAAATCCAAGCCCCATCACCCTAACCCCTCGCCACCACATAACACAATAATTTTCTGATCGCACATCAATTGTTTTCAGCTTTCATATTTGTATTTCTTATAACTTCTACCAATATTAACTTACATTATTACAACGAGACGCTTCAAAGGCTAATTTACAGATCACATGCTCTGTTTATAGTCAAATGTTGTCCAAACGAAATAGTTGAACTGCTGCGTCATGTGACCTTGATGATAACAGCACGGACTTGAACGATTTTTCAAACTATGAACGTAATGTCAACAAATTGTAATTGTTCTCGATAGTGTGGCAATAAACGTTTTATATCTGATGATGTGTTTTTGTGTCCTTGTCTGATATGCTCCGTTTCTCCGTTTTCGCATAATATTAAGGCATGCACGTGCCCCCCTCTTAATGTAAATACAAATCCTAATCAGACAGACCCGTGAAAATCCGGGTTAGAATAGGCCTTAAGCACCCAATGCTTGCAGTGGGAGGCGACTATGCTGGAGGTAAGGGGCGACTAATCACATAACGTGATCGGGTGCTCAGGCTGGCTGACTTGGTTGATGCATGTCATCGTATCCCAATTGCGTGGATCGATGCTCAGGATGCCAGTTACTGGATGGTCTGGTCCAGATTCGATTATTTACAGACCTCCGTCATATACCTGAACTATTGCCGAGTGCGGCGTTAAACAACAAACAAACAACAAACAAACATAATCAGACAAGAAAGACACATGTCAAAGAATGACATAATAGATATATATACACAGATATAGTTAGTGAGTATGGTGTTACGCTGCTTATAGGGTTTCATAATCGTATCCATCGAACTCAAGCCTTTGGCGGGACGTGCGAACGCTTCAACCACTAGGCTACCATCCGCCCCACGTAGATCATAGAGAGTTTACGTCTCATAACATTTATTAACTTTTAAGTGGAGATAGCATGTAGTTGATAAAAGTATGTCAAACCGCACAGTAAAACTGTGAGGGAAATATAACAGAAATCATGTAAACCAAAAGAGAGTGACTTACAGTGACCAAGACCTCGACCTACCCAGCGTATACTGTGCATTAGCCAATTATCACACCTTGAACACCTTCATTGTGATTTTGTCATCACAGGCAGTTGGGGGTCGGAGTACGCTCCCCTTTTCGCGAACACCTGGTGTCATCACTTTTGATAGTGGGTCATATCCGCATGCTTATGGAAAGGGGTTTGTTTGGAAGTGCTGTAGTGAACCTTACAATGGTTATTTTAATACGTGTTAATCTTAAGACATGCATAAGTAGCAACTACATTAGGCTCGCGCCAATTGCACTCCTGGCAAGTTGAATGTCCTTCAAAGCCCACTTTATACCCAAATTGCGTGTGCCAGACTAACATAACATTTTCAAGTTTTCATTATGGTTTTTCAAAAACGTTTTCGTCAAGACATTTTATGTGTGTGGAGACCCCGTTTGACAGTTCGATTATATTATGTAAGACGATCATTGGAACATGCAATTACCTTACGCACGATACCCCAACAGAAGGTATGCAAAACAGTTGCTATATGCATTGAAACCAATAAACCAACACGTACTACTGAATGCGATAAATGCATGTTAATGTTAAATGCTGTGATTAAGACAAAGATGTGAATGTCAGGGGGAAGAATAAAAAAACTACTTATAACACCTTAGTATGCACCGCATCCATTCCTCAAATCTCGGATAACCATAACATCTTCACATTTAAATAATAATCAATTAATATGTTTTTGTTAGAATTATATCACAAAATTCAAATCTTTTACAATCGAAATAATCGAAAGTGTTGAAGATGAAGATTTGTGGAAGCAATTGCAAGCAACTGCAATCTATCGAGATCCGCATTGTGCCACAATCTGAAAGTAATTTTTATGAATGTTTCAAACACATTGTGATTACTATTCTGGATATACCTATCTACAGGATGGGCGATGAAGGATCCTGAGGTATACACAGTTGACCCGGGTGAGTGCTTACATGACGTCTAATAGGAATATTGATATATCAATATTTGAGGTAAGCCCTTACGTTTTTTCTCAACAATCTGTTAATCCCTCCGTTCAGTTGTCATGGAAACTTTGAGGTCGTTGTATTTTGGATGTAGGTTTCATGATGACCCGACGACTAAGGACTGGAATTAGTTTGCAGAGTTAAACCACTTAGTCGTTTTAGGATCCACGTCTCATGGCATGACAGGATTCATATGAATAACATTTAAACAACACAAAACTGATTTTGAAAGTATGATTTATTAATGTAATGTTAATAATGAAATGCAATATTTCAGTGCGGGTATCTTTGAAGCTCTGTGTGAAGTTCGGCTATGTTAAAGCTCAATGTGAAATACGATCAATATCAGTGCCAATTTTGGATTCGAACCCATGATCAAAACTGTGACTTTTAGGACCTAGGCAACTGGTGTAACCGAGCTGCTAGGTGTATAGGATAAGGAATCAAGAACCCAGGATCAATATCTGGTGTAACCCAGTTGCCATGTGGATAGGATAAGGAAGCAGGAACCCATGATCAATAACTGGTGTATAGGATAATAAGGAAGCAGGAACCCATGATCAATAACTGGTGTATAGGATTATAAGGAAGCAAGAATCCATGATCAATAAATGGTGTAACCATGGTTACATGTGTATAGGATAAAGAAGCAAGAACCAATGATCAATAACTGGTGTAACCAAGTTGCCATGTGTGTAGGATAAGGAAGCAGGAACCCATGATCAATAACTGGTGTAACCATGGTTACATGTGTATAGGATAAGGAAGCAGGAACCCATGATCAATAACTGGTGTAACAATGGTGACAAGTGTATAGGATAAGGAAGTAAGAACCCATGACCAATAACTGGTGTGACCCAGTTGCCATGTGTATAGGATAAAGAAGTAAGAACCCATGATCAATAACTTGTGTAACCATGGTGACAAGTGTATAGGATAAGGAAGCAAGCCCCCTGGATCAATAACTGGTTTTACCATAGTGACTAGTGTATAGGATAAGGAAGCAAGATACCCATGATCAATAACTTGTGTAACCATGGTGACATGTGTATTGGGTAAGGAAGCAAGAACCCATGATCAATAACTAGTGTAACCATGGTGACAAGTGCATTAGATAAGGAAGTAAGAACCCATGATCAATAACGGGGTGTAAAAATTGTGACAAGTGTATAGGATAAGGAAGCAAGAACCCATGATCAATAACTGGTGTTCCCATAGTGACTAGTGTGTTGATAAGGAAGCAAGAACCCATGATCAATAACTGGTGTAACCATGGTGACAAGTGTATAGGACAAGGAAGCAAGAACCAATGATCAATAACTGGTGTTCCCATAGTGACTTGTGTGTTGGATAAGGAGGCAAGAACCAATGATCAATAACTGGTGTAACCATGGTGACAAGTGTATAGGATAAGGAAGCAAGAACCCATGATCAATAACTGGTGTAACCCAGTTGCCATGTGTATAGGATAAGGAAGCGAAAACCATGATCAATAACTGGTGTCACCATGGTGACTAGTGTATGTGATAAGGAAGTAAGAACCCATGATCAATAACTGGTGTAACCATAGTGACTAGTGTATAGGATAAGGAAGCAAGAACCCATGATCAATAAGTGGTGTAACCATGGTGACAAGTGTATAGGATAAGGAAGTAAGAACCCATGATCAATAACTGGTGTAACCTAGTTGCCATGTGTATAAGATAAAGAAGCAGGAAACCATGATCAATAAATTGTGAAACCATGGTGACAAGTGTATAGGCTAAGGGAGTAAGAACCCATGATCAATAACTGGTGTAACCATAGTGACTACTGTATGGGATAAGGAATCAAGAATATGTGGATACTGAAACGTCCCACCGTGAACTTTACCGAGGATTACATTTCCTGAATTGAATTCGCTTGAATGTATCTTGTATGACATGAAAATAAGGTGTTTTTATAACTACTGGTCCAACAGGGAATGTCGAAAAATGATCAGAAAAATATTTGATCATATTTGAGAATATGTTTCCTTTTTAACACTTCCTCTGCACGGACATGCCGCAATGATAATCTCGGATATCTGAAATATATATCAGTTGTTAAAACCTCTCTTGCTTTATATGTATACATTTTAATTTGTAAACATTACGTCATTCTTTGTCATGAAAACTAGTCATGAGTTTTTTCCCCTTTACTGAGTCACAAGGAAAAAGAACTTGGTTGTCAAACAGGACACTTCAGTTTGGTAGATCTATGGCTTATTTCAATTTATTTCATTCTTAGAACATAGAACAGATGCAGGTTATCATCCATTATCAGATTATCATCAACATATTTGCTGTCATATAAACTTTATTTAGAGCACATATATATCAGTCTGATCAACGCCCAATGTCGTTGGTTTACAATTTTAGTCGACTCTGACACCAAACATGTCGTCACGGAATATTCTGACTGAGAGATTTCATTCTGAATAGTTATGTAAAAGCTTGCTATTTGTATTTGGAAATTTGAAAATACAGTGAGAAAGATTGTGTTCATGACAATTCAGCTGTAACTATGCATAAATGCATGTTGTATGTGAAACATTAAAATACAATCATCAGTAATTAACAGCTGACATGCTTCATGTTACAATACTTAAATAATTACAGAGGCCTGTATAAGGTCCATAAGGCAATAGATAAGATAAGAGAAAGGTGTTCCAAGTTTTATACCCTCTTCATTGATACCAGAACATGTCATCCAGGGGAGTGACAACCATGAACA